GGGGGGGGGTAGATGGAGGAATAAAAGTGACGAAGGAAATTGGTGGAGTGAACAAAGAAGGGAGAGGGATGGTTTTAGTGGAGCTGGAAGGAAGAGACAGAAAAATGGAGGTGATGAAGGCAAAGGTGAAGCTGAGACGGGAAAAGGGGAGGGTGGAGGACGACTTAATACAAAGGGAGAGAAGGGTAAAATGGTTGATAGAAAGAGAAGCGGAGGCGGAGAGAAGAAAACGAAAGAGGGTGAGGGTGGGGTATATGAAGATATGGGTGGATAGTGAGATGAAAGTGTGGGACGAGGTGGAGGATAGATGGAGAAGGACGACGGGAAACGAATAGGAAAAAAGGTAGAAGGAAATCGGCGGGTGGTGGCCGGGGAGGGTACTGGGCAAGGAGAGAGGGGAGTGGGAATTAGAAGGAAAAGGAAAGAGTACACGCTAAAGGTGGGTTTTTGGAATGTGCCGGAAGTAAAAAATAAAGATAAAGAGTTTTGGGAAGGATTGAGAAGTTGGGAAGTGGTGGTTTTAATGGAGACGTGGGTGGATGGATAGGAAAAGGTGGGAAGGGATTAAAGAGCACTGGAAAAGAGGCTTTAAGTGGGAGGTACAGGATGCAAAAAGAAGTAGAGGAAGGGGTAAAGCGAAGGGGGGGATGGTAATGGGGGTTAAGGAAGGATTAGAGGTAGGCAAGGTTGAAAAAGGTGAGGAAGGATGGATGGAATGGAAAGTAAAGTTGGGGAGTTACTTGTGGTGGGTGGTGGGGGTGTATGTGAATGGGGATATGGAGAGGAAAAGGGATATTATGGCAAAGCGGATGGAAGAGGAGGATAGGGAAGAGAGGGTGGTAATTGGGGGGGACTTCAATGTAAGAACGGGGTCGGAAGGTGGGGTGTGGATGTTGGTGGAATACGGGAAGGAGGAGAGCAGGAGGAAGTCGAAGGATGGTGTAGTGACGAAGGAAGGTGTAAGATGGTGTCAGTTCTTGAAGGAAAGAGGTTGGGGAATCTTAAACGGGGGAGTAAAAGGGGATGAGGAAGGGGAATGGACGTACGTGGCGGGAAGGGGCAGATCAGTGATTGACTATGTGGTGGTCGGGGAGAAGGCGTTGGACAAAATAGAGAAGATGAAAGTAGAATGTAAAGTGGACTCGGATCACATGCCGGTGGTGCTAGGGGTGAAGGCGGTAAGAGGAGGGCGACACAGGAAGAAGGAAGGGGAGGGGAGAGAGGGTGGGGGGAGGTCGCTGGAATGAGGAGGGAGTGCGGAAGTTCAAAGAGGAGTATGGGGACTGGCGGTGGGGGGAGGAAGAGGTGGAGGACGGTTGGAAAGAGTTTGGAGGACGCATAAGAAAAACAGTGAGGAAATCAGGGGAGGGGAAAAGGAGGGTGCAGAATAAGGGTTGGTGGGACGAGGAATGTAGAGAAGGAAAGGAGAGGCTCAAGAAGGAGTTACTAGAGTGGAGGAGAGATGGAAAAAATGAAAAGGGGTACAAGGAAGAAAAGAGGAGGTATAGAGGAATGTGTGAAGGAAAGAAAAAAGAAGAAGCTAGGAGGTGGGAGATAGAGATAAATGGGATACGGACCAAAAGCCAAGCGTGGGCAGTGATAAACCGGGGGAGGAAAAGAAGGAAGGGGAGGAACAATAATATAAAAATGGAGGTGTGGGTGAGCATTTTAAAGGGGTGCTAGGAGGTGTGGATGAGAGGCGAATGGGGAAGACAGAGAGGCTCGCGGGGGATGATTGGGAGGAGGAGATATCAATGCAGGAGGTGTGGAAGGTGGTGAGGGAATTGAAAGATGGGAAGGCGACGGGGGAGGATGGAGTACCAAGTGAGGTGTGGAGATATGGAGGAGAAAATGTAGTGGAGAGTTTATGGAAGATGTGCTGGAAAGTGTGGAAGGGGCAGGGATAGCCGGAAGGATGGAAGCAAGGGATAGTAATGCCAGTAGTGAAGAAGGGAAAAGGGGAGGCGGTGGAGGAATATAGAGGTGTAACGCTCACGCAAACGGCGTATAAGGTGTACGCCGGGGTGTTGAGGGACAGATTGAAAAAGGCAGTGGAGGAGGGAAGGATGCTTCCACCGAGCCAAGCGGGATTTAGGGAAGGGATGGGAACGATGGATAATGTGTATGTATTAAATTGGTTGGTGAATAGGGAAATAAGGAAGAGAAATAGTAAACTGGTGCTACTTTTTGTGGATTTGAAGGCGGCGTTCGACTCGGTGGATAGGGTGAAATTGGGCGAGAGTATGAGGAATAGAGGGGTGCGAGAGGGACTTGTAGGAAGATGTGAAGAGGTATTGAAGGAGACGGTTGGAAGGGTGAGAGTGGGAGAGGAGTACGGGGAGAAGTTTTGGACAATGAAAGGTGTGAGACAAGGGTGCCCGCTAAGCCCCTTGTTGTTTAGTTTGTTGTTGGCGGACTTGGACGAGGAACTAGCAAAGGGTTGTTGGGGAGGGGGAGAGCTGGACGGGGGCGGGAAGGTATATTCGTTAGCGTACGCGGACGACTTGGTTTTGCTGGCGAGGGGGGAAGAGGAAATGAAGAGGATGATAGGGAAATTTGAAAGGTATATTGAGGGAAAAGAGTTGGAGGTGAATACGGGAAAAACGAAAGTGATGAGGTGTAGGGCAGGGAGAGGTAGGAGAAAGAAAACGAAGTGGTGGTGGATGGGAAAAGAAATAGAGGAAGTGACGAGGTATAAGTATTTAGGGTACGTGGTGAGGGCGGACGGAGACCAAAGAGACCATGTGGAGGAGAGGGTGGAAAAGGCGGCGAAAGCAATGGGACAGGTGTGGGGTATAGGCAAGTGGAGGTTTAGGAATGACTGGAGTAGAAGGTTGTGGTTGTTCGATAAGCTGGTGTGGCCGGTGGTAAGCTATAGAGTGGAGATCTGGGGATGGGTAGGGATGGAGGCGGTGGAGTGACTGCGTG